CCCGGCGGGCCGCACGCCGCCGCGGGGCAGCCTGGGATTTGTAGTCCCGTTCCGCGGGCGTGCGCGGCTCTGATCGCCACCGCCACCTGGGAGCTTTTGTATTTTCACGTTCTGTCAATTAGTCAATTCCCCACCCGCCCACGGGAAAATAATTAAATAGGCTCGAACTCTACCTTAGGAAATAAATCAATACACCTGGTATCGCTGCCAAGTCTTCTGAGAGCTTGCTATTCAGCCCCCAAATCAACCCATTTTTCTCTCAAAATCTTCAGTTTTGAAATGAAGAGCTGGAGCCTGGCGCAGTGGTAACCCCAGCGACTAGAGAGAGGCTGAGGCAGGAGGATCGCAAGTTAAGAGGCCAGACGGGGCAATTTACGAGGACGTGTCTCAAAATAAAAAGGGCTGGGGATGTGGCTCAGTGGTAGAGCGCCCCTCGGCTCAACACCGAGGAGGAAAAAAAGTTCAAAGTCCACCATTTTCAAATCAAAAACAAGCTGGTTTGCCAAAGGAAAAAAATGAATGGTTTGGGACCTGTACCTCTGGACCTCACTAGCGAATCTTGGGAAGGATACTTTTGCCAGCTGCTGGAGAGGCTGAGGCAAGAGGATCATAAGTTCGAGGCCATCCTGGGCAACTTATTGAGACCCCCTGTGTCAAAAGAATTTTAAAAAGGGCTGCAGGTGTAGCTAAAATCGTACAGCACTTGTTTAGCACGTGGGAGGCCCTGGGTTCAGCAGAGCACCCCCGCATTCATTTCTTCACCTATTAACTGGGCGCTTGGGAAGATGGAGGTAATCCATGCCGTATATTTGGGGTTCACCGTGGCCCACAGTGAGCACTAATCATCCTCTCATTTAGCAATCCACATAGGTCCTGGGGAAGTCTGAATTTCGAGGCCAGGGAGCACCCAACCTCTTTCCCCATTGCCCGTTTCTGCCATTTCTCTCTGAAAAGGAGGCGGTTCTCTGCACCTAGAGAATGTTGATGCTGCTTTCTATCATAATTTACTTTTCTTATGGGAATCCGTCTTTTACTTAACTGGTGATCTCAACGAAAACTGATTCACTAAATCTCCTTTTCTTAAATCAACACCAGGAATGGCAAGATAGCTGAGCACCCCCCATATCCCCCATCTGTCAAGCAGAAATGGAACTGATATCTATCCCCTGCTCAGGGCCCAGTGACCTTGATTTTTATCCAAAGGCCTTCACCAGACAGGTAACAGGGGAGTTGGGTCAGTGACCATCAAGAATGGTGGATGTTTTGTGGCGAGTCTCACCGGAGGCACCGTGGACACACATACACACTCAGCACCCCCAACCATGAATAGCTGTTATTTTATTGTTTAAAAAAGGTTTCAAGGCCCCAGAGTAGCACATGCACATAAACCACCTCCGACTACCTCATCAGCTGACCAGCACAGTCTGCTACTCCAGTCTGTGACCTGATGAAGAGGCCACCTTCCCACTTCAGTCCCATCAACTAACTAGGCCATATCCAACCTTCTGCATGGCTTGCGAGGACTCAGAGGTACATTTTAGTGTCTGGACGGCAAAGCTACATTGAGTCGCAAATGAAACGAGCAAGTGTCCTTTGTGTATTAGACAGGGAAACGGGGACAAGGCGCGTGAGGGGAAGCCAGCTTCACTAGATGCCTCAGTCCCGGAAGTCTCTTTCACTCTGACCGTGATCTAAGCTAGGAGATCTGCCAGTGCCGCAGGTTCCTGGACCAGAGGGAGCTGCGTGCTCTGAAGGGCAGCCAGACAGTCACATGAGGTAAGAACTTGACACTGGAGTTGAGAGTTCCGGGGCCAGCCTTCCTGATGTCAGCCCCGCTCTGAAATCCATCCTTCTGCCAGTGGATTCTGGGAAGTGATTCTGTCCAGGGGGCAGAGAGCTCTGGCTCCTGTCCTGTCTGGTTTCCAGGACACCCTGGCCATGGAAGAACTCACTGGAAGAAGAGGAGCGTGGAAGAATCTCGCGAGACCCGAGGACTGATTTTAGTTGGGTTTAGTATATTCCGTGAGTTGGTTTTATTCTAAAGTTTTTAAAAACCTGCGTTTCTCACTACGCTTGCTTATTTATTGTTACCTGGGGTGGATCTCAGGGAAGGAGATTTGGGGAATCAGTTTTCATTGAAATTACCAGCTAAGAGACATTCTCCTAATAAAAAGCAACTTGAGAGGAAGCAGCAGTTTGCTTCCCTCAGTGCAGAATCTCCTCCTCTTCAGTCAGATAGAAATGACAGGGAGGCGTCTGCTGACCATCTCCAGAGCCCCAGAGTGACAGCATCAAGGGCTTGGAGAAGAAAAGGGGCCTGCAGTGGGCGACATCTTAGATGCCAGCTGCACACTTCCCAGAAGAGCCTGGGAGCCCACCTACAGCCCTCGGGAGCAGAAGCCCAAGACACAGAGGCCTCCACACTCCACTGCCCCTCATTCCTACAACCCTCTATGGGAGTTTTTCTTATGACCCAAAATCCCAGCAGGTGCTAGAGAGAGAGGAGCAGAGGGGACACGGGTTCACGCCTCTCGGGAGTCTGTACTTGCATTGTCTAGAGGGGTCTTCACCTGCGTGCAACAAATGGATTTCAGCTGTGACACAGGAGCCCACGGGCGCTTGACCCAGAGTTAGTTAAAGGGTATAAAGTGACTAGTGGTCAGTTACTGTTCATGAACTAACAAGTGGAATTGCAGAGGCCCTGCCCGGCACTGGGTTATCATGATACCAGTCGGTCAGTGTCCTCTTCTGGCCTCGATGAGGACTGAGGCAACTTGTGGAATGATCCTGGGCTGTGTCTCTTCAAACATTGCAGTGTCTTAATACTAAAATGGTAAAACGACGTCTACCAGTGCCCGGGGAGGGTGAGCTAGAGGAGGAGGGCTGAGCAGCAGCCTTGAAAGTCAGTTTGTCCTTGACCTAGGGCAGCTTCTCTCCTGATGATGCTCCACAGAAGCTTCCTGACCTCTGATTCCTGAGACATACGTTGAGCCCCGATCAGAGTCACCGGCCAAAGCTCAGGAGGGAGGTCCCTGGGCACAGATCATGGTGCCATCACAGCAACATCTGGAGAAGCTCTTGTCCCCAACAATGCTAACATCAGAAAGCCAGCTGCTCCTGGTTCCTACAGCGCTCACGGTCAAGTTCACAGACACCCTAGCCCTGGGAGGAGCTTTGCTTCCTTAACCCATGTGCATCATCGTCTTATAGGCAGAACACCCATAAAAACGGCTCCAGTTTTTATAGGTGTCCTGGACATAGGACAGTGGGAGACAACGGGTTAAACCCTTGTCATAAAAAGAGGTGCTGGCCCCTCTGGGTCCCCCTCGACTGTTACACAGGTAGGAGGCTCTGAGCAGCACGGAGGAAGCCACAGGTGAAACGGAACCCAGAGCCTAACCGGGCCACTTCTGCCGGAGCCAAGTACAACGCTGCGGAACTCATTAAAGGGGCTCCCTGCACAAGGCCACCCCACAATACTGCACAATGGCTGGGACTGGGCAGCTGGGAACGGACCCCAGAGGGACACGGCAGCCATTTCTGCATTGGCCCCAGACAGCAGTGTGACTTAAAACTCGGTAGTAAAAATGTGAAGTCCCTTTCCAAAGGGGGAACCCCCAATTAAAAAAAAAAAATGCGGGGAAGCCAGCGAGTGACCTTGGCTTTGCTAGCGTGGCCCTCCGCGTTACTGGTGGTGCACAGCCCAGCAGGCCCCGCCCCGCCCCCGTCAGTCAGGGCCGCCCTTCTGCTTGGCCAGGGTGCACTTGAGCTCGCGCAGGTTCTGGGTCAGCACCTCCACCTCGTCCAGGCGGCCGCACTGCTTGGCGTCGAAGATGTAGGCCTTGATGTTGTCGATCTGCTGCAGCAGCAGCTCCTCCTCGATGGGCGCCTCCGCCTCGGGGCCACTGTCGCTGTCCTCAAAGGGGTTGCCAGGGGCAGGGGGGCTTGCGGACCTCGGGTGGGGACGGTCCTCTTCCTCCTCGAAGGGGTTGGGCGCCGCGCCGTCGGGGCCAGTGAAGGGATTCCCGGGCTCGGCCTCCTGCTCCTCGTCGTCGTCCTCAAAAGGGTTGTACTCTTTGGGGACAGGGGCGGAAGGGCGGGAGGGGGCCTCTGCAGCACTGGGGCTGACTGCGCCCTCTTGGGTGGGGCTGGAGAGGTCGTCCTCGTCGAAGGGGTTCAGGGAAGGCACGTCATTTGGCTGTGACACAGTGGTCTGGGGGAGGATGTCCTGGCCCAGGGCCGGGGACCCGGAGGCCGCGTGGACGGGAGCTCGAGCTAAGCCGGGGGAAGGGGTGTCGGGGATGGTGGCGCTCTGAACGGGGAAGGAGCCCAGGTCCAGGGCGTGGGCAAGGTGGGTGCGCGGCCCCCGGGAGGCCTCCAGGTGGAAGGGCGTCCGCGTGGGCAGCGCGGCGGCCTGGACCTGCTCCCGCTCGCGCTCCCACTCCCGCTCCCTGAGCATCTGCAGCTGCTCGCGCTGCAGGTCCTCCTCCTCGGCCTGCCTCCGCGACAGCTCCACGGCCTTCTCCGTCTGCTGCTGGTCGTACTCGTCCTGCAGCTGCCGCAGGTTCTCCTGCAGCGTGCGCACCTCGTCGGCGCGGCCCGCGGCCTTGGCCTGCCTGATGAACGACGTGATGTTGTGGATCTGCTGCAGCAGCGGGTCGGGGTCCTCGCTCTGTCCCTGGCCCTCCGACAGCGGGAGCCAGCCCTCCGCCTTCCTCAAGGGGGCGTGGCCTCTGCGGAGGGATGCCACGTCCCCGTTGGCCGCGCGGGATGCCAGGCCACTCTGCCTCCCCTCCAGCCGTCGCTGCGACTCCAGGGCCGCCTGCAGAGACACCAAGGCACAGGGTCACCACCCACGGTCGCCAGGCCAGTGGCCACCTGCACAGCTGTGGTCCCTGCAACACTCCAGTTCCCTCCCAGAACCAAGAGACCCAACCGCTTGAGTCAGGTGTTTGGTTTTCAAAAATAAAGTAAGATAAAGTGAAGGGGCAGGAGTCTCTCGATCTTAGCTTCCCCGGCCACACACCTTGTCCCTGTGAACCTCAGCTACACGTTGGAATCTCATGAGTGCTCAATGCACTTGAGGCAGGCAAGTGCTCTAAGCCACACCCCAGCCCTTTGTGAAAATTTCATTTTGAACCAGGCATGCTGGCCAACACCTATGATCCCAGTGGCTTGGGAGGCTGAGGCAGAAGGATCATGAGTTCAAGGCCAGCCTCAGCAATTCAGCAAGGTCCTGAGCAACTCAACAAGACCCTGTCTCAAAATAAAATATGAAAAAGGGCTGGGGATGTGGCTCAGTGGTTAAGTGCCCCTGGGTTCAATCTTCAGTACTAAAAAAATTAAAAATAAATGTTTCATTTTGGGACAGGCTCTCGCTAAGTTGTCCGGGTGCACTGCACCCAGCTACGTGCAGATTCCAAGTTTGGGAACCTCCTGACGTCTTAATCCCCTGCAGCCCTACCAGAGAGCGATATAAGAGAGAGTCACCAAACTGCTCAGAGGAAACTAGGACCTGGCAAAAAAAACAGTTATTCTGGTTTCCACAGATCAGTGTGAGGCTGGAACAGGGCAGAAAACAAGAGCAACGAGAGGTTCCAACACAATGTGACCTGCAGGACCTCCTGGGGCCCACCGGGCTGCAGCAGGAGGTGTGGCCTGGGCCCGGCCCTGGCCCTGCACACCTGTCTCTCCATGGCCCTCTTCCTCTCCAATTCCTGCTTCCTCTTCTTCTTCAGTTCCTCAAACTGCTCTTTGGTTGGCAGTGACATCAAGCCCAGCAGCTTCTCCTGCAGGGGACACAGGCAATTTTACACTTAAACCCTTTTGAGGAAAAAGTGATCCCCAGATGAGCCCATGGCCCTTCCATAGATCGTGTATTTTTAGCTCTTTATTATTGGTCCCCCCTTCTAGAATATCAGCTTGATGACAGCAAGAATGGGTGTCCCCTTTTTTTACTACAGGACACCCAGCACCTACAATACTGCCTGGTACTGAGTAGGTACTCCATTAATGGTTGCTGAATAGTCACTCAGTAATCAAAGGAGAAAGACTAAACTCTCAGCACTATAATGAGAAAACACACCCCACACACCTCTTCCCATGCAGCTGTTGGAGCTTTATGTAAAAAAGTGCTCAGGATCTAAGCATTTAGTGATGAAAACCAGAAGCCACCAATTTGCAAATATGTACTAACTCCGTTTGTAGAAAATGCAAAGAGGAAAAAAAACAAATCTACCGGATGATGAGTGATGACATTAGGTACGTAGGATTAAAAGTATTTTACTTTCCTGTGAAATGTGGTATGATGCATTCATAATTGTAAAAAATAATAAACATGTAAACAGAAAAGAGCCAGCCATGGGCACAGATGTGCCTTCTGGAGGAGTCTACGCGACACCCCTGCTGCCCTGGGAGGACTTTACCTGCACAAACAGCGTGGCTGAGCACCTGATCATCCTCTGCAGGCGCAAAGTGTTCGGGTGTGGGGGAGGGTCCTGGTTCAAGCCTAAGGTCAAGATCTTCTTACTGGAACGGAAAAGCACAGCAATGTAACAGTGCAGCCAGTCTCAGAAACAGGTCTGGAAAGTGGCTGGTGCTGCCTGGCTTTCTTGTCGGGAAGATGTGTGGAAGCCCATTTCCTCCCCTTTGTATGCAAGACTCCAGACATAGCTCAGGGACTGACCTCATAGGTAGACCCAGCCTCACAGGTGAGCAACCTGAGCAACTGCACAGGGCTTGACACTTAAAGGGACCAGGTTTAATGCCCTCCTGTTGCTGTCTGAAAGTTCTTAATGATGTTTAAATGGGACAGCATTGATATTTTGTACAAGGATCTGCCATTTGTGTAGCAGATCATGCATGTTGGAAGGACAGTGATTCCTCCTCCCAGTTATCCCCCTGGGTCTCTCTAATCCCTACACCTCAGGGAGCTGGTTTACCTTAAGCTGGTCCTTACCTTAAGGCATCTATTAGCTCATATACTTTTTGCACTTCAATTCGAAGGTCACTAGCATGTTCCAGGCTGTAGGTGGTTTCCCCGGCGCTGGGGGAAAAAAAAAAAAAAATCAGAGAAAGTTTGATGTTTTACTATCTGGACAATGTAGAATAGAAGGATTTTCAAGTCTGGAGGTCTCACAAGGACAGGGTTCATGCTCTCGAAGGGTGTGCTGGGCGTACTGTTAGCGTTCTTGGGATGCACTAACAGACCAGAACTGCTTTTCAGTGTGCAAGTGCCCAGGCACCAGGACTTTGGAGCCCAGCTTGGCCTCTAGAGAACTGGACAAGGGCTTTGTCTGGACATCTTTGAGTCGTGGAAGATCTCAAGGCTGGCCCAAGCCTGAAGCTGCTTCCTAAGGTGTCAGTCCTATTGTGGTTCCATCACTGTTCCCTTGGTGACAGTGTGAGCTCCCAGGGAAAGGAAGCTGTGGAGAGCAGGCGCCGTCTCCCCTGTTCACTGCTACACTCCCAGCACAGCGCTGGGCTCAGGAAACACCTCCTGGGCGAGCGAGCGAAGGGACTTCAAGCGCTTAAGAACAGACCTCTGAGACTGCTCAGCTACAGGCGCAGGTCAGGGAGGTTCCTGAGCCCGCAACTGCGACGGGGCAGTGTGGGATACGTTCCAGCAGGTTCCAGGGGGAAAAGGAGCAGGAGACAGATGCTCCGGGCTGAGGCCCTCTGTGTAGGGCTCATCAGACGTGGCTACTAACTTCAGTCGGGTGCCTCCTCCTACCTGCCCCTGGGGAGGGTAGGACCCTCCATCAACTGAATCTACTTCTCAGGAAATTGCAGGTGGAGAAGAAAATCCGCCCCTGCCTGCTGCCCTTCAGAACCAGTGCTCCAGGACCAGGACAGAGAGGAAGGCAGACCCAGGAGGTGCAGATGGTGGGGAGGGGGTAGAAGGAGGACAATGGCAGCTGAGAGGGCCCAAGAAATAGGGTTTCCTCCCTGTCCAGCTAGCTGCTAGGAGAGGGGAGGAGCGGCACCCACTGCTGCGAGCCAGCCACGGGCTGCATGTGGGCCACCACGCATCACACCCGAGTGAGGAGCACCATCTGGGGTCTGGGAACTTCCCGGGGACATCTCCTCTGTGTCAGACTGCCCTGGCGCACTGTGACCTCCTATTCCGCTCTGCCAGGTCCCACACAGCACGAGAGATGAGTGTGACCCGCCAAGATGCCCATCAACCTGCTGAGTGCAAGACGTCACCAAGCAAGACGCGGCCCTTGAAACCTTATCCCTGCCTTTAATGGATCCCCTTAAATAAAGCAGCGGAGCCCTCTTCTTGTATCTAGCTCCAGCTCCCGTGTGGGCTAAACCTAGCAGGGGCTCCGTTTTTGAAAATATATTTCTGACTCTTTATCTTCTGCTCTTCACTAATTATTCTAGACTTTAATTTCTCAGGTGGCTTCCACCCTCCTCAGCAGGAAGAAGAACCCCCCAACGAGACACTGGCCATCACCCCTTAGCACACCTGTAACCCCAGTGACACAGGAAACTAAGGCAGGAGGATCTCAAGTTCAAGGCCAGCCTCAGCAACTTAGTGAGATGCTGTCTCAAATCTAAAATCAAAAATAAAAAAAGGGGATGGGGATGTTTCTCAGTGGTAAAGTGCCCCTGAATCCAATCCTCAGCACCAAAAAAAAAAAAAAGCAGACCTCTAATGATTAGGATTGGGGTACCCAGGGTGAGTGTGGTTCAGTGGCAGAACACTTGCTTAGCAAGCTCAAGGCCCTGAGCTGGATCCCCAGAACCAAAGAATAAAAAAATAAAATCACAAAGGCCTGGAGACTCTACAATGATTTTCCTACCTCTTTTTATTGTCTCCCCACTTTTTTTTTTATCCACTGGCAGTCAGTGCTGGGAACTCCACCCTGGGGGCCTCATGCCCGCTGGGCAAGCCCTCCACCACCGAGCGTCCCCCAGCCTCCTCTCCTTGCCCACCTCTTCTGCCCTGTAGCTGGAGACAGGAGGGAAGAGCAGGGAACAGCAGGAGAGCCCTGCAGCAAAAGCAGTCAGTAAAAAACAAGAAACACTAGGGAAGGGATGCTTCTTGCACAAACCAGCCAGGCTAGCCTCTCCTATTTCCTAAGTAGGACATTTGCAGACTCCAATGTCAGGAAACTCCTATGGACCACAGTGGAAAAAATTCCTTTTTCCTTTTTTTCTTTTTTGCTTTTGATTTCTGAGGTGGGGTCCCGCTGCATTGCCCAGGCTACTTCAAACTCCTGGGCTCTAGTGACCCTCCTCCCTCTGCCAAGTAGCTGGGACCACAGGCACACATCACGTCCCTGGCTTCAAGTTCACTTTCTTTACAGGCGAGACCCACACGACAGGCCTATTGGAACATGGCCACCAACATCAGGAGGGAAAGCCACACTTGCACTCTTTGTATTTGGGGAACACTGTCAAATATTGTAGTAAACATCCAAATGAAAACATGACTTTGTTCTAAACAAGGTGCATCTGTACTGCATGCAGGAGCCCAAATGGGCCAAGCGAGAAATTCTGCATATCATGACCTCAACTGCTCCTGCAGGCTGGGAAGCTTCTGGAACCTGATTCCAAGAGCAGCACCTCAGAGGCCAGCCCCCACACAAGCCCTGAGGAGGAGCACCTTAAGCAAGGAGGGGCCAGGGCATGCACACTTTGTTTGCAGGCCACCCAGTGCGTCACTGCACACTGTCATCAAACAAATGGGCAAGGCTGAGGCTCAATAAAACTTTATTTATAAAAACGGGGGTAACAACAAGGTGGGCAAGACTGTGGAGAAACTGACAGCCTCACCTGTGACCACGGGAATGTAAGCTGGTGCAGTCACTTTGGAAACAGCCTGACGACTCCTCAAAATGGTAAACACACAGTTACCATAAACCCAGCGAGTGCCAGGCAGGGCAGACACCTGTAGTCCCAGCTACCTGGGAGGCAGGACAGGAGGAGTGTTTGAGTTCAGGGGCCCAAGGTCAACCTAGGCAGCACAGTAAGACCCTGCTCAAAAACAATTTTTAAATAGGAGCTGGGGCTGGGTGTGCTGCAGCATGGCTGTAGCCCAGCAGCTCAGAAGGCCGAGGCAGGAGGATCACAAGTTGTTTTTTTTTAAATTTTTTTTAGTTGTTGATAGACCTTTATTTTATTTACACATGGTGCTAAGAATTGAACCCAGTGTCACACACATGACAGGCAAGTGCACTACCACTGAGCTAAAGCCTCAGCCCCTGATCACAAGTTTGATAAGTCTGATCACAAATTTGATCAGCAACTTAGCGAGGCCTGTTTTAAAATAAAAAATTAAAAAGGCTGGGGATACAGTTCAGTGGTAAAGCACTCTGGGTTCCAGATAAAAACAAACCAAAAAACCTGGGATACAGCTTAGTAGAAGAGAAATGCTTAGTGTGTGTCAAGTCCTGGGTTTGTTCACAAGCATCACAAGAAAAAGAACCTGTACGTGCATTATTCATGACAGTTAAGAGGGGAAAAGAATGATCAATGGGATAAGTAAATGTGGTCTACCCACACTGCCTTCACACAAAGGAAGTGAACTACTTGATCCACACAACCCCATGGGTAAATCGTAAAAGCTCTGCATCTTGTAAAAGCCAGACACAGAACACTGTACGTCTGTGATCCTACCTATATGAAATGTCAAAAATAGACAAGTCGGGCTGGGGACGTGGCTCTGTTGGTAGAGTGCTTGCCTTACATGCACAAGGCCCTGGGTTCCATCCTCAGAACCAAAAAAAATAAAAAATAAAAAATAAAATCCACAGAGCCAGAAAGTAGATGGGTGGTTTCTGGGGAGAGGGGGTGACTATAGGGGTGCAGGGCTTCTTGTCAGAGCAAGGAAACCAGTTAGGACAGTGGTGGTGGCTGCACAGCTTGGGGAAGGTGCTAAACATTAAAGTAGTGAAGTTTGGGGCTGGGGATGTGGCTCAAGCGGTAGTGCGCTCCCCTGGCATGCGTGCGGCCTGGGTTCGATCCTCAGCACCAGGTACAAATAAAGATGTTGTGTCCGCTGATAATTAAAAAATAAATATTAAAATTCCCTCTCTCTCTCTCTTTAAAAAAAAAACAAAATAAAAAATAAAGTAGTGAAGTTCACAGGATGAACATCTTAATTTAGAAAAAAGAAACAGAGGTGGCAGGCTAGATGTGGCCAGGGTCTGGTCAGCCAATACCCGCTCCAGGCCCTGCCCTCGGTGGTGCTGCCTGTCCTCCAAGGCCACTCCGAAACCTGCTCCACCAGAAGGGCTGGGTCACCTACACAAGCCTGTGCCTAATACAGAGCTCCCGTGATGGAATGTGTGTCCACTGAAACGCAGCAGGAGGATCTCTCACAGCTGGCCACAAAAGAGCAAGGCTATAGTCAAGATTTCCATTTGGGGGCAGAGTACTGCGCATGGTTAGCGCTCACCCAACCCTGGGCTCTATCCCCAGCACCAAAGAGCCAAAAACACAAGAGAGAGCTTGCCATTTTCCGTTGCTTTAGAACTGACTAGAAGGGCAGAAGACGGTGCCACTGAGAGGGCTTACTTTAGTGAAGCCGCCATCCTGATGTACTCGGGGGCCTTCTGGTCGACCTTCTCCATGCAGAGCCGTAATTTCTAAGGACAAAAGAGAAGAGGTGAGCGCTGCTCTCAGGATCCGCCACCCCCACCTCAGAAGCCAGGCTGCCATCCACAGAGGTGGATGCAAAATGCTCACTTTTCAAAATGAGGACTTTGACTTAGCATGTGCCGAGGCCTGGGTTTGTTCCCAAGCATAAAAAAAAAAAAAAAAAAAAAAAAGAACAAACAAAAAACCTTATGGTCACCAATTTCCTCACAGACCTACTTTCCAAGCAGAAAAAAATCTCACAGGAAGGAAAGAGGGTGCTGCTTTTGACCAGCTGTTTTTGGAGTGAAGCCAGGCTTCCAGGGTATGAGCCAGGTGCCTAGCAAGTCGGCACAGAGGGAACAGCTGTGTGTGGGCTCTGCTAGGCGACACCCGGCAGCGGCCAAACCCCAGCACAGGGTGCTGCCATGGCGCAACAGGAGCAAAAAGCACAGTGTGGGATGGGGGTTGTGGCTTAGTGGTAGAGCGCTCGCCTAGCATGTGTGAGGCCCTGAGTTCGATCCTCAGCACCACATAAAAATACATAAAATAAAGATACTGTGTCCAGCTAAAAAATAAATATTAAAAAAAAAAAAAAAAGCACAGTGGCTGTTTGAAAAAAAAGAAAAGATCATGGAGTCCGCACATGACTCAGCGCTGGGTTTGGGTAACACCACTTCCAGTAGCTTGAGGACTTACAGGATGACTCCAGGAAACAGCCCTGTGACCTTCAGAACTGCTAACAGGGACAATTCCACCATCATTAGACAAAAATAAGCTGTGCCCCTGCTAGACTTGTGCACACGCAACTTCCTCTGCCAGCCTGAGCTCCTGTCCCCTTCCCTCCCCACTGCACCCCCACTGGCCAGTCCTCCTCAGCGCGCGGGTCTCCGCTGGCCACAGGAGGCTGGCTGGTCTCCCTCCCAGATGTTCCCACCCATGCTATCTCCCCTTCACGTGGGCCTCTGCTAAGGGCGTTCTGGGATCTGGTGGTGGCCAGAGCTGGGGCATTTGAAAGGACTTGGAAGGGCACACTTTTAAGCACTGGGCAGTAAACCAACCAACCCTAAAACCTGCAAACTCAATGGAGCCAGGTCTAAAGTCCCCGGCTAAGGCCCCCGCTGTTTCTAGAGCTCCAGCTTCTGCCTCCCCCACAGAATCTGACCACCACTGCCCGGCCTGCCCTCGGACCACCCCCTCCTGTTTTCCCATGGGCAGCGACAGGTGGCGGACGGGTTGGTAGAAACATTCCCCGGGTGACTGACTCGCCCAGGGCCCTAGCAGGAAGTCAAGATGAGTCAGGGCACGACTTCCAGAGCATTCTCTAGAACCCCGGGCCTGTGCATGGCCGAGCGCTGCGCTGCCGGCGGTCACCTCGTAGAGCTTCACGACAGTGGGCGTGTGCTCCTTCTCGTCCATCTGCTGCTCCCTCTTGAGCAGCGTGTCCTTGCAGTGCCTGCAGCAGCGGATGCGCTCGTCGTCCTTCTCGTCCATCACCGAGCTCACGCTGCTCAGGCTGCTCAGGCTGCCCCGGCGCGAGCCGTGGACGCTGTTGGGGGACTGGCTGGGGCTGGTGTGGGTGCTCAGGGAGTCCTTGCTGGCACTGGTGAGCTTGTCTGTGAACCACAGAGGACAGGCGTGGTGACCCGGCGGCAGCCAGCCATCCCCCACCGCTTCCCCGCTGTGGAGGACCTTCCTCCAGGTGTAACAGCTGTCCCTGTTCCATGCACCTGCCCTGGCGATCTGTGACCCTTTGCGGGTAGACACTGTGTGTTTCACCTGCGCCCTGACCCAGCAGCAGGGCCACCCGCTGCAGCTGCCGGGAAGGGCTGGTTAATGTGCCCAAGAAGAAAGAGCAAGTGTCCTGAGGCAGCCCAGGTGGGAGAAGGGGCTAGTGCCACAGGGAGGGGGAAAGGTCAAGGCCAAGTGGGTCTGGTGGGGATGTCAGCTGGAGGGAGGAGGCCTCGGCTTCTGCCTGTGGACACCGTGGCCAACAGTGTGTGCAGGCAGCAGAGCCTCCAGGGGTGCCAATCCCCAACATGGCGCGGCATCAGCAAGATGACTTCAGGAACTTTGTGTGTTTGTGTGACACCAGGGACAGAACCCAGGGCCTTGTGTATGCCAGGCAAGTTCTCTGCCACTAAGGAATGTCCTTTTTATTTTTGGAGACAGGGTCTAAGAAAATTGCCTAAGCTGGCCTCCAACTTGAGATCCTCCTGCCTCAGCCTCCCAGGTAGCTGTGATTACAGGCCTGTGCCACTGTGCCCAGTTCCTACCTGATCTTTTATAAAAATGTTGCTCTGTTACAGACTACTGGACCCCTGGCCAGCAACACAGAGGGCATTGGGGACTCAGTAAGTGAACACACGAAGAGCTCATGGGCCACTAAACAAACAGGCCCCATGGCCCTGGTGGTGACTAGTGAATAAGCTGGTCCCAGCAGCACACGAGCGCCCGGGGCCTTCCCCCACGTCACGTACTTGCAAAGGGAAGGCTGATGAGCTCCATGCACTTCTTGCACATAATCGACCCGCAGAGGCGGCAGTGGTGACGGCGGTTCCGGATGCTGAACTTACTCCCACAGTCTGGACAGAAAGGGACATCCTGGTCATTGACCCAAGGCACCACAGACTTTTCTATTGCTTTGGGGAGAACAAAGAAAAAGAAAAGCACAGCATTTCAAACACAGATCTGGTCAGGGAGAACAAAGGAACATAAAGAATGCATAAAGTCCCTCACCTCGAATCTTGGCCGACTCCGTGTTCATCCTGTCGAAGGCGGTGAGCTGAGCAGAGAAAACAGGGCCAGGCGGAATCAACCAGGTGACGCGCACACTCCCCACACGCCCCACCAGCACATCAGGCTCAGTCACGTTTGCAATGCTCAAGTCTTGTGCGTGGGTTAACCTCAGCCCCAAAGTCACGACAGCCATTTAGCACGTGATGCAGTTCTCAATTCACACCTAGAAGGCATGGCCCTGCCCACGACCCTCTTCCAGTCTTTCCTTTGTCCCATTTGAGCAATAACCAGGGTGGGCACGGATGGGGCTGGGTGGCTACTGAGAGCAACAGGGGCTCCCGATTCTCCACTCCTCATGGAGAATCCAAGTGGCCACATAGCTCTGACCTACGACGTCCACAGGAAGAATGGCGCCTGTGGTGGCCACCAGGCCCACCACACAGTCACAGCCCTGGCCGCTGCCCTTCTGTTCCTCACCAGATGACACCCATCATGCTGCACTGAGTGAATGTGCCCGGGACCCCAGGAAGGGAGCCTGGCAGCCGAGTGGGCTTCCAAGGTGGGAACAGGAAGCAGGTGCATGAGAGTCTGTCAGCCTGGGCCGCTCCCTGCAGGAAAGCCAGCCCCGGCTAGAACTGTGCTCCATGTCCTCTGCACCTCTTGGGACAGCCACTTCTCTGCCTGTATCAGATGTATGTCACGTACGACAGGGTACAGAAATGTGGGCCTCGTCCCCAGAAAATTTGTACTTGCAGAAAAAAAAGTGTTTCAAAACAACAAAATTTACCTTCTCTAACCTGATTATTAATTTATTGACTTCAACAACGTAGTGATCGATTCTGGCAGCTCGATGTTTTTTGAAGTCAGAAAGATGGCTCCTCACAGCACCTGGAGGGGGAGAGGAAGAGACATGACCTGTGCCTTCTCCGAGGGAGACTCTCTGCCTCCCTGTGCAGCCTCAGTGAACAGCAAAAGCAAGTCAAATTCGGGGATTTGAACTTGAACTCTAGGATTTTTAATTTTGACAAGAATTAAAGTAAATGAGAAGAAATTTGCTAAGATGTTAGCTGTGGCCCTTGGAAGCTGTAAAGTTCCTATAGCATGAGGCCTGAGACAAGAGCAAATGAGAGCTGGGATCCCGGGGCTCGAGCTGCAACTCTGCTCCGTGCTGCATGAGCCTGGACCACTCCCGCAACCTCCCTGAAACTCAGAGGACTCATCTGTAAAGCTGGCGTAACAACAGGATCTACTTCATGGGGTTGTTACAGAAATTAAGTTCAAAATCCTTAGAATATGGACTGCCACATGAATGTTTGTTAAATAAAAAGGGCAGTACCATTACAGGTGATTCTGTTGTTTTTTATGGTGGTACAGGAGACAGAACTCAGGGCACTCTACCACTGAGCTGTGTCTCCAGGGTCTCACTACAGTGCTGAGGCTGGGCTCCAACTTGCAATCCTCCTGCCTCAGCCTCCCAAGTCACAGGGAAGACAGGCGTGCACCACTGCTTCCAGCAAGAGAATACATTTTTATTAATCTTAGTTCCCATGTGGACTACAGACAGATCTCTTGAACGTATTGTTCCTGTGTGACCTGTTGTGTCCTTTGACCTACAGCGCCACATGCTATACTCTAACGAGACCTCTGTCTTTTCTTCCCTTCCCTTATACTTTAGCATCTAAGTGCAGTTTAGATTAGAATTCTTGGCAGTAGCTATGAATATTAACTTCTAAAAGTTGTCATGCCTTTGACCTTCCACTATTTGTGACTTCCTTTAGTTGCTGAAACAAGTTAATCAGAAAACCATCAGGGTAATCAGACACTGGCATGAAACAAGGTATCACAAAGCTAATAAGAATTCATGCGTCTAGAATTTCTTCTGCATGATTCTAACTGATTTTCATATATAACTCATTATTACATATGTACAATTTTTTTGTTTTGGGTTTTTGTTTTCTGCACTGGGGATCAAACCCAAGGCCTTGCCACACTAAGCAAGTGTTCTATAACTGAAATACATTTTTATATTTATATACATATATAATTATTTATTAATTTTTGTTGCCAAAGATTGAATCCACGGGTGCTTAACCACTGAGCCACATCCCCAGCCCTTCTTATATTTTATGAAGAGACAGGATCTTGCTGAGTTGCTTAGGCCCTCACTAAACTGCTGAGGCTGGCTTTGAACTTGCGATCCTCCTGCCTCAGCCTCCTGAGGTGTTGGGATCACAGATGTGCGCTACTGTACCTGGCCCCAGCCCTTTTTAAATTTTATTTTGAGACAAGGTCTTGCTGAATTGCCCAGGCTGGCCTTGAACTTGCCATCCTCCTGCTTCAGCCTCCTGAGTAGCTGGGATTACAGGCGTGGGCCACTACTGCACTCAGCTCTGTATACTATTTTTAAAGCAATTTTCTCTTGCTCTCCAATATGGTAGCCTTTAACCACATATAGATGCTGAGCACTTGAAATGTGGTTCATGTGCGGTTGAAGAAGTGACTTTTGATTTTATTTCAGTTTAATTTATTTAAATTTAAATAGCCAGCTGTGGCTACTGGTTATCAAGTTGGACAGCATGGTTCAAGGACTTTCCTCATCCAAAAAGACACATCTGTAGAGGCACTATAGGGAACAGTACCTGACCCTGGGGAGATGTCCCTTCCTCTCTTAGAGTCTCAGTTTCCCTATCTGTAAATGGGAATGAGCATCCTCACCCCCTCCACCTCCCTGGGCTTTTGTGAAAGGTGACCAGGATCATGAAAATGAAAATAAAACAAAGCACTATGAAGGAATCGATATCCTGTTCTGGGTCAGAAAATATTTTATTGTATTACTGATCACCGTCATTCAATAGTTAAAGGACATGAGAAATCAGATAGTTCAGCTTAGTGTTTGCTGCATGATCCTTCTGGTACCTGCTGTATTGAGATATATTTTACATACATAAAATTCACTGTGTCAGGGGCTGGGGCTGGGGCTGGGGCTCAGTGGTAGAGCACTCGCCCAGCACATGCAAGGCCCTGGGTTCAATTCTCAGCACCACATATAAATAAATAAAATAAAGGTATTGTGTCCAGCTACAACTGAAAAAATAAATATATTTTTTTAAAAATTCACGGTGTCGGGTATTCCATGTTTTTTAGTATATACCCAGAGCTATGTGACCATCACAAGAAACCGAAGAATGTCTTCATCCCATGCCCCCTCAAAATGATTACTTTGCAAAGGATGTCACACAATTACACATTTCAGTGCCTCCCACTTGGCAGGGAGTGTCCTGTTTGAGTGACGATGGACGCGCTGGTAGAGTCTACCTGGGCTGACTGGCGGCAGAAGGACCTGGATCCGTCATACCCTCTTCACACACCAGCCGTATGACCACAGGCAGGTTCCCATGGGTGCAGTGAGGACCCAGGGGGACCACACATAACAGCATTTAATGCAGGCCTGACACACAGAGATGCTCAGCTCTTCCCCTCCCGTTCCGTCCCCCTATTAGGGCACAAGGTCTAAAGACTAATCCTTCTGGTTTGCTGATGCTTCTATGACCTCAAACCTTACGGAGAACACAGCAGGTGCTACGAGTGGATGAGCGAAGGACGGACAGATGGATGGGTTCTTACCAAGCTCCTGGGGCTCCCACATGTAGGGATCGACCCCTCCATAGCTGAACGACTCATATCCTTGGGTTCCCGAGTCTGCTCGCTCGTCCCCTTCTCGTTTCAACAACTTGTTCTTTGCTTTCTTGGCCTTCTGCACGAAACCTTGAGAATGGAACAGACAAGACAAGTGAAGCCACGAGGAGCACCCAGAAAAGAGCCAAGGGCGATCAAGGGCACCCAGAAAAGAGCCAAGGGCAATCTCAAGGCCAAAGCTAACAGAGTAGTCATCCTTGTTGAAAATGCACAGGAGATATCTGGACCCCAGAGGAAACGCAGCCAGCACCCAACCACGATGCTGGCCCACGAGTCCCACGTGAGGGGTCACCTAGAGCTCACCACCTTGGACACCTGAGGCCCGACAGCAGGAGGGGTGAAATCTCACGTGATGAAGAACCAGGCTGTTGGAAGGGGTGTTTTCCTGTCTTCACTGGGTAGTAATTATAGACATTTTTCAAAATGTTGACTTATATACGTAAAAACATGTGTAAAACCGCCTCAATTACAGTTTTTATTTGCTCACAGTGCTGTGGATGGAACCTGGGGCCTGGTGCAGGTCAAGTTCAGCAGCCTATCACTGAGCCCTCCTCCCAGTCCCGAAGTTTCTTCAAAGTCCCATTCTTCAGTACTCATGGGTCCTCCCCAGGGATCCCTGAGGGACAATTCTCCAGGATGGGACACCACCCAACAACAGCCCTGTCGGGTAACTGGGCGGAGCATCCTTCCTTCCCACTTCTGCCCTCCCACGTGGTGAATGCATATGTGAGAATATTTCCAAAAAGCTTCAAGAAATAGACATAACACCTAGAGCAGAGCACAAGAGAAGCAGCTCGGTAAGAAGAGAAAACGAGCCCTTTCTGAACTGGGCCCTTGGATGCACCAGGTGTGACTACTCTGTGGCAGTGCGTGTCCATGGCGTGCAGGGCAGGTGACAGCCCTGCTTACAGAAGACCAGAGGACATAGAGTTGGGGGAGGACCTGCTGCACCCAGGGTCACAGAGCTCACAGGCAGCAGAGCTGGGAGGGGACATGTCACCTTTCTGAAACCAGAGGCCAGCCCTCCCCAGCCAGCAAGGACACCAACTCTACCTCTCAGAACAGGGTCTCTGCGGCCTGTGAGAGGCGAGAGGCCCACTTGTTAGAACTGAACAATTCAGTAGCAGGAGGAAAAAAGAATCCTTCAGGTCTAAGTTGTTCTTTCACTAATATTCTTAAATCTCGGGTGATTGATGGCCCTTCTACCACTAGAATTAAATAAGAACCAGAGAGCAGGGGATGTAGTTCCGTGGTAGAGGGCTTGCCTAGCACATGTGAGGCCTTGGGTTCAGTTCTTGGTGCCACAAAAAAAAAAAAAATCAGATAATACAAATGACATCATTACTTGGACATTTAATAGATCAATGCTGCATGCAGTTCTCATGACTCTGAAGTGTTCTGTCACTTAAATAATGCTAAAAACACCCCCAAAGCTTTCCAAAACTCTTGGTAAACAGACACGGAGGGGTTAGTAGTGAAGACAGGTGTCTTTGTTAGGAGGTGGAGCCCATAAGCAAATTCCTCGATGATCAGACCCCCTGAGATTGCTTTTTCCAACTGGAAAAATACAAGAACTCAAGACACCCTTGAACACGCAGTCAAGTCATCCTCTACCAAGGGAGAGGAAACTGCCCAATGTGGACAAATGGCCCAGCGGACAGGAAACTGGAGTCAGCAAACAACACTTCACTTCTGCAAACCAGGCTGAACTGCGTGAGTTCAACAGGCCCTGAACCATCTGGAAACACAGGAAAACCGCCTGGCCACCCTCCCGGAGCGGTGTGACCCTTCCAAAGGGAACAATTAAGAACGAACCCATCCATTCCATGTTTTAAAACCCAAAGAAGCAGCTCCAGGTGATTTTCAACTGCCTTTTCTTCTATCTACTAAATGCACTGAAGGTGAACCAGGTTTGGGGCTCGAACCCAGAGACATGTTTTAGGAATGTCTAGTTTATCTTAAAATAATAATAATAATAATACCGGCCTCTAAAACCTTACACCCATGTTTGTTCTTCTGGCTTTTTCTACTTGACTTAAAATATAAACTCCATAAAATGTCAGAAGATCAATAGGCAAAATAGAGAAACGGCCTGCTTTTGAAAGGGCTTTTCAAAAAGTCTTGGGTGCCAATCTTTAAAACTTTCCTCTCCTGAACCCAAAACAAATACGTTGGTGACATAAGAATTACTTTTTGACTTAAGGGATGATCTTAAGTGCCACGGAAATGCTCAACTCTGAGGACTCTGGAAGTAGAAATGGAGGAGGGAAAAAAACAAGAGGATCTTTTTTCTTTTTTTTTTTCTCTTATGGGGCTGGGAATGGAACCCAGGGCCCCACTTATGCTAAGTAAGCACTTTACCACTGATCTACAGCCCCAGGTCCCCAAGAGGATCTTATCTTTAAGTTTCCGTTCACAAGGAACAAAAATTCCAATCTATGTAGCATTCCCCAGATTCCATATCTGTTACTCCTTCAATAATCTTAAAACATTTTCTCTCTAAAAGTGGGTCACCATAGGAATCTGAGGACATTCTCTAACCTCTCTACAAACTGACGTAACCAGTCTTGGAAATATCAAGGTATGTGAACCAGTTTGTTTGTTTGTTTGTTTGTCTAGGTACCAGGGATTGAACCAAGGGGCACTTAACCACTGAGCCACATCCCCAGCCTTTTCGTTTTTTATTTTGAGACAGAATATCAGTAAGTTGATGAGGCTGGTCTCGAACTTTGGATCCTCCTGCCTCAGCCTCCTGAGCTACTAGGATTGCACTCAACCACCAAGCCACGTCCCCAACTCAGAAATTGTAACTATTAATGTTTTCAGCAATTTTTTTTTTCCTTAACTGAAAAGTAAGATCTGGAGTGGAACTCCAGGGACAAAACTTTGATTACAAGTGGTATATGATTCACATATCCCACCTAGGATCACTCCTTTCTCTCTACCCAAGAAAGATTATGAATACTGCATCCAGACTTTTAAAATCTCACGGCCTCAGGTGTGAGAAGCAAGTTAGCCGATTAGGAAGTCCCTAGGAGGCTGAGTTCCAAAGGAGCAGCAACTTATTTGGGGTTAGAACCTGAAATCCAGGAAATATAATAAATACGTGGAGAGCCAAAATTATCTTTGAAAAATTCTTTCACTAACTCTCTATGACCTGAGCCAATGGAAACTCAAAACCAAAGTTTAACTTTGGGGAGTTGTTTCTCTTTGCTTTTCAACTATGACCTTCTTTTTCCTGGGCTGCAGAGGGCAAGGTCCAGTTGAGGAAGGAAGGATGGCGGGAAGGCTCAAATTTGTGACAGACAAATGGTACATAACAAGTCTCCACTTTCACAGCAAAGGAAAAACATTTCTGTCTAAACCCCCTTAGGCTGGGGGTTGGGTAACTAAAATAATCTAGCAACAGACAAATCACAGTGATTATATTTATTAGATTCTAAGCTAGGCTCTGCTTCACTGTGTGACTTTAGGCAAAGTTCCTAACCTCTCTGTGTCTGGTATTCTCTTCAACAAAATGGGGCTCATAAGCACACAGATACTGGGAGGATCAATAAAATAAATACACAGGAGACTCTGAACAATGCCTGGCACATGACAAGCACGAGATGCCCGTTTGCTACTCTCATTATCGTCATACCCTGGTGGCAACATGGAAGCCCCTGAACACTTCCCATGAGTGAAATCGCTCATTGACAAAATGCAACAAGCAAGGTCCTCGCCTCTTACTTTTGATTTGCCCTCTGACGTCTCGGTCCTCCCCCGCGTGCTCTTCTTCATAATGTGACTGAAGCTGGTAGAAAGACTGCAGGTCCTTCAGGCACAGAGGGCAGAGGAAGCCCTCCCTCACTTCCCCTGGGTCGTCCAGAGAAGCCATGGCCGTGCCCCTCTCAACCCCGGGAAGGCAGAAGTCTCATGCCATCAGGTGGCGTGATTCCTTCCAAGGGACCAGGGCTCCTGCAGCATTAGCTTAACCAAGCAGCACATGGATGTCGGGGACGCATCCTGGCCCTGGATGAGGCTTCCTCTCTGGAGCAGGAGGTGCCCTAAGAGAGGAAAGAAGAGGGGAAAAGCCAAGTCAGGCAAATTAGCAGCAATCTAGAGGGGGTTTTGTTGTTGTTGTTGTTGTTCTCTTCACAGTTCAACAAGGGTACTTCATGTTTGTTCTCTGCAAATTTACAAAAAGAAACTGTTTCTTAAATCCTAAAACCAAGTCACAAAACCCAAGATGTGAGATCACAGGACGCTAGGAACTCAATAAAGGGGGAAGTGGATTTCCAATGATAAGCAGAGCTGACACCAAGGCCCTTCTCTTAAAACTCATTCCAAATGGTCCCACCTCATCAATTCTAGGCCACTGTAGCCACTGAGGAAATGTCTTAAGTACTTATCAACAAGCTTTCATTTAACCCTTTTTCCTTGAAAGTTTATTTAACCACACATATTGAGCTCCATACTCCAAGGCACACATGTTCAAAATGCCAAGATGAAAAAGATACAGTATCTGCCACAAAGAAATAAAACAAGCAGGTGCAGTGGCAGAGCCTGAAATCAGGGTGACTTGGGACACTGAAGCAGGAAGATTACAAATTCAAGGTCAGCTACAATGACTTATCGAGATCCTGTCTCCAAATTTAAAAAGTAGCCTGTCATCCTAGCAGATTGGGAGGCTGAGACAGGAGGACTGCAAGTTCAAAGCCAGCCTCAGCAACTTGGCAAGGGCCTAAGCAACTCAGCGAGACTCTGTCTATAAATAAAATATAAAAAGGGCTCAGGATGTGGCTCAGTGGTAAAGTGTCCTGGGTTCGCTCTCCCACACCAAAACCAAAACCAAAACCCACAAAAATCTCAGCCTTAGCTTGAGGAAGAACATTAGAAGTCTAGTGATGAAAAAGAAAGACCAGCCAAGCACAGCATGTGTGCCTGTAGTTCCAGCCAGTTAGGGGGCTGAAGCAGGAGGACTGCAAACCCAGGAATTTAGGGCAGCCTGGGAAACACAGGAACACCCTGTCCCTTAAGGGGGGGGGGAGGAAGAGGAAGAGCAGAATGGGGAGGGGAAGGAGAAAACTTATTTTTTGATTTTTATTTGCAGAACACTCTCTCCAATGAGCATCCTACATTTAATAACAGCAAGTAGCATCTGGGCAGCAAGGTTAATGTTCTCACTGTTTCAAAAATAAGAGGATGTGGTACTCCAACAGATCAGGGCTTAATATTACATTTTTAAAAAATTTATTGGGTCATAGCAAAGTCACTTTCAATGATCACCTCAGAAAGACTCCCCGCCACAAAGAGAATTCAAACGGAACCATTTCATAAAGCTGAAAACTCTCTGGTCCAAGAACCTGGAGCCCTAAACCACAATATGGAGGAAGGAATATGTGTGACCCTCCTATAGATGACTGGAGAGAGCCCTGGAGGAGGGGACTGCATGGATCCTCAAAGCTGAAGGGAGGCAGGAGCTCAGAATAGGACAGACACACACACACACACACACACACACACACACACCAGGTCCCTATTCTTTTCTTCTGGTTAAAAACCCTAGTGACTACATACAGGGTTTTTAAGAGCAGTCCAGGTCTAACCTGTTCCCTCCCCAGGTGGTGACACACCTGATGCCCGGGCTCTGACAGCTCCTTCCTTCCCATGCCATGAGCAATCATCCCTAACAACCACAAAGCCTACGCCAAGGGCACTCCACCCAGGCCACATCCACACCTTTCACAGCTCAGCCCAAACCTCTCTTCCTCAAAGCAACTGCGCCTCTAACTCAAGGAACGGACCCATCAGGGGGGTGCACCTCTCCTTCCCAGCAATTACCTCGATTTTATGATCAGATGTAAACTGACTGAATAACACAGGCTAAGTTTTCCCCCCAGGGGCACAGCGCAGGGTCTGGCCCCTGCACGACAAAGCGGAATGCATCTCCACGAGGGGATGCATAAATCAACCCTAAAATCATGCAACTGCCTATGCACCCCAGAGAAATTGCCCAAAGCCACCAAAGAACACAGAGGCAAGCCCCTTATATCCTAAATCACATAAGATGTAAATGCAAGGCAACGAGGAGCCAGCCTGGTAATCGCAAGGACCCCGGAGACTGAGGCCAGAGGATGCACAAGTTCAAGGTCAGCCTGGGCAAAGGGGCAAGGGGGCGAGAGATCCTGTCTCCAGATAAAATAATAATAATAATAATAATAATAATAGTAAATAAATGAATAAAAAGAGCTGGGGAATGCAGCTCCGTGGTAGAGCGCCCCTGGGTTCGATCCCTGCTAACGCATCAAAGTAATAATAATAATAATAATAATAATAATAATAATAATAATAATAAT